TTCTCTGTAAAGGATTATACTGGTCAATTTGGATAGCGCACAACCATATGATTTTTGACACCAAAACTCCAGATTGGGATATGATTTTTGACCTCACCTTTCATCGGTTGGCTTTTTGGTTGAGATCTTCTATTAAAAATTTCAGCTATACAGGCTCAGATTTTTATAAAAATTCTAAATGTATCATGAACTGGACTAACTAATCGAGGTTATAGATTCCTCGCTTTCTTTATGTTTTTTAAATTTCCCATGTAATCTTTCTTAACAGTCCTTATTTTTTTAATGGGGATGCCTTTTTTATAATATTCTTGATTACTATAAAAAAAACATGAAAATTAAAAATGACAAAGCAAAACAAATGAGAGTGTTCTAAACAAAATAGTTCTACATAAGGTTCCATTCAAAAATTCTTTGTGGACCTTTAAAAGGATCAGAGCCTCATGCATAAAGTTAGAGGTCTTCAGCCATAGATCAAGACAATGGAGAATTAACTCAAAGTTGAATTCCAACTATAAAGGTCTACAGCCATTGATCAAGACGATGGAGAATTAACTCAAAGTTGAATTCCAATATAGCAATTGATTCTAACTAGTCAAATACCCCTAAAATATTCCATAATGCATCAAAGTAATTGCGTAGACTTTGAAATTTTCCTTTCACAATTTCATTTCATTAGGTTAACATTTGACCAATACTTTTCTACATGCACCATTAAATACCTAATGAATTCAAAAACATATTTCACAAAATCCAAATATATCTGCAATGTAGAAAAATATGACTGCCCACTTGTGTTTCAACAGTACAAAAAAAAAACATATGCTTTTTTATGAGCAATTAAATTTATATTTTCTAAGAAATCCTCTTCTACACAATACCCTACATAGTACCCTGTTAATGATTGTACCTATTACTAATCATTATTTCACACCATTTGGTTCGTTCCTCCAAACACTCATGTTAAACTTACAAGGCGATAAAACTATTACTAATTATACCTATACTCATTATTCAGACTCCATATTTTCAACCTTAAAATTTCCTCTGTTCCACATTACTAAAATTCCACCAAGACAACTATTAATTAGTTCACAGCCTAATCACCAATCCCCCTATCCAATTGCTTTGTAATGTCTACTGTTAGAACCACCAGATCTTAAGCACTCGTAAATCCCAGACTGTGCCCAGCATTTAATATCTCTTGCACCTCATCATCTTTCCCATTCTTTTATGGTACATACAAGTCGCTAAGATGAGTGTAACGAGCGTTTCCTTGTCTGATGCCAGAGTCAAGTGAGCTTGAACCATCCTCTTCCCCTTCTGCCGTATCGTTTTCTAAACTGTCAGTTGATGAAAAGACTTTATCCTTCCTCTTCCTTCTCTGTAAAATCATAGGGTGAAATATATGCTGGCTATTTGGGTTTATGGCTGCTCTACTGGGTGTAGAAGAACCCAGAGATGTTGAGTGTTGTTCTTCTCATAGTTGAGGACTGTCAAGAGGCACTAATTCATGGGATGGGCTGTGCTGTGCCTCTCAACATGTGATTCTGATGGGGCCCTTCCTCCTGATGGGCCAGCACCTCCTAGATATTGTTTTTGTTTAGCAGTTTCCCCGTAGTTGGAACTTAATTCCAAACATCTTGTAGTGGTGATCTTCTCTCCAATATTTCCGGAACAGAATTTCAACATGAACATCAGAAACAGCTGTTTAACATATTTCCATATCCCTGCTGTTATGCGAACAGCTAACCACATCCACAATCAACGCCAAATTTGCACAGCTTATAGTTACCTCGTCAGCATTTTCAACATCTGAGTGTCAGCAGTACTAGTCTCTGTTTCACTCTCATCTTCCTGCTTCATCAGATCAAAAGCTGTCATGTTGTCCTCAATAGCTTCAGATACTAGATAATGCAGAGGATCCAATTCCTGCAATTTGATCTTATAATCTTTCCCATTTAACCACAAAGTAGTGTGCTCTTTGATAAATCTGTGAAGCCGTGTTCCAATTAAAAGATTAATATGACCAAGATTGCTATACCCCAAATTGATTTTGTCCAAAACCTATAGCTCTCCCATATGCTGATATATTCTTGTTGATGCTCGTAACATTCCAACCAGTTATTGGCAAATCAGTAACTTCAATCCAGGAAAATCGATCAATTGGACCATCTGTATCAATCCAAGGCCTCAGCTCATCAAAATAACCATGCCAAGGCGGTATATCCAATTCAAAAGCTTCCAACGTGGAGCCACAAGTATTGAACGAGATCAAAGCTTGTGATGCACCCATAGAACAAAAACCCTTTAATTGAACTCCATTAGAATGCAAGTATTTCCTTATATCATGATAATTAACACCTTCATTTATCACTCCTCCCAAGCTATTCATCCATGCAACCTCCTCCTCTTCTGGATCATGTGTTCTAAAATGTGCAGCCACTGGTTGAACAACAGGGACTTCATTAATAGTCTCATTTTGGATGACAGGGACTCCGTTGATATCCTCTATTTGATTAGTAGGGCATGCATTGCTTCGCAGTTCACGAGTGCTTGCTGATTTTTTTTCTGCGCGGAACCATAGCATAACCTCTGCAGTCTCGCTCCCTTACTGCTACTAATACACGTTGAACATGTTTTTGTTATCGGAATCCGATGCGTTGAATCTCTATTCACACGTTGAAACCGCTTCAAATTTGCACGTAGACGATAAGACCTGAACCATTCTCCATTAAGCTTTCCAAGGAGCTCCAGTTGCGAAGAATCTGTTTTCATTGTAACAAAGCCAAACCTCCGTGTTTGTTAAAAGCTAAACCGGTTTCTTCTGTTGTTTCTTCGTGATATGTACATAGCAATCACTACTCCATATTAGTTAAAAGTTCTGCGGTGGCTTTGATAATCTACCCAACAGGGGAATGGCTCAAAGTAAATCCGAGACAGTGGTGTATGAGGCAAGGTAGATGGCAGCAAGGTAGTTGTGTGGTTGGATTTTGATTCCGTAATTAGTTTAGTAGTTTGAGCTTTCGTAACAGTACATACCTTTAGGATCAAGACTGGATCTTTTTTTGGACCCATAAACCATACTTTAAAACCTTGACAGAACGCCTTACTTACTAAACAGGGATCCTCTTATGCCCATCCTCCTTCATTGACCACTTGACTCCACAATCTATTCAATTGCGTCTCTTTTGTTTGTCACCATATTTGCTATACTTCGCTCTCTTTTCTCTCTTTTCTTTGTCAGAGTGGATGAGTAGAGTTCCTGAGAGGAAAGAAAGAGATGAGTATTTTCAGAATATTAATTTCAAAGGAATTATTCTAACAAATCAAGCCCTTTTCATCTAATTTGTTTTTGTATAATTTTTATGAATTCAATTCTATTTAAAATTTAAATTAATATTTAAAAAAATAAAGATAAAAATTGATTTAATCATGTAAATTGAATTCAAGTCATAAAAAAATTCTAAATACTCACTTATTTTAAAATATTATTTTACAATTAGATAATATTACTTCCATGGAAAAAAAAATATATCTTGTTTTAGAATTGAAAAAACATAATATCCATTATATTCTCAATCTTCACTACTAAAAACCTCTTTGGTACTTTTTAATTTATAATTATTCTTAAAAAAAGAATTCACCCTAAGTTTTTAATCTTTCATAAATTATTGTTTTTTTATAAATAAATTCTCAATTAAGTTAATAAAAAATATAATATTTCAAAAGATATCGTATATGAGGTCTAATAAGTCACGCACTTAAAAAAAATTATAATGTTTTCAGATTATTTACCATGTAATGTTAAAAATATATTTTATTTTACTATATTTTTTATAAAAATATTTTTCTACGGTAATTCCACCCGAGTTTTTACAGAGACGCGTGCAGCCCACTTTAGCATATACCTCAGCACTGCACTGCATTGAACTTGGTATAGACATCTCCTTCCTATGTACGCTTTGTCCTTCTCTCCTGTCTCTTTGAAACTCCATAAATCAAAAATCAAAACCCACAGATCAAAATTCTCTCAAAGAGAAACTTTTCTCATTCTTTTGAGTTTTAAATAATACCCATTGAAGGAAAAAATCGTGGAGATTGCTGGATGCTCTTCTGGTTTCAGTTCCTCCTCTAATGATGTCTGGGCTAAACTTGGTATTTTCAACTTCTCTTTCTTTCTATAGTTTGTGTTCTTTCTTATGTTATGCTCTCTTTGTTTCCTAAGAAAATGACTCACGAAACTGTTTTTAGCGAAGTTTAGTGTTGAAACTGACATTTTATTGGAAGTTAAATTGAAATGAAATGAGCCCAGATGAGGAAATTTAGCAAAGAAAGAAAATATCCTGGGTTTGGGTTCTTAATTTTCGTTGTTTCACTTTTTTTGAACGCAACCTGTTAATGTATGTGTGCATCCATTTTTGTAGAGGGATTGTTACTGTGAGAAAGTACTTTTGTTGAATGTGAGTGAATCTAATTATAGTGAGAGTACATTGGAGTTGGAAAGTAGGAGACTTTTTTAACATAAATCATGAATGATGAACATAAACCCTATTGGTTAATTCAATTTTACTCTTTTGTACTGAACATTGGCCTTTTCTTGCCTAACCAAGTATCAAATACTATACAGTTCCTGTGCCTATTTTGAATTGAGGGCCTGTAGAAGTCTGAACTGCCGATACCGGAGCCTTAGATATTTTCAATTCTATATGATAGTAGCTTCATTCTGCCTCTAATTTGTGTGACAATTCTGTTTGGTGCTGTTCGTGCTGAGAATCATATGCCCTGTTTACTTATTTGATCATTTACAAAGTGACCGTGTAATCGAATTAGAATTAACTGCAGTGTTTGACAGCAAGCTTTTCCTTGCTGGGATTTTGGATATCGATTTATTCTTCACTGTTGCAGTACCATCTGACTCAAGGGGTTACTTGTATTTCCTTGAACAGATCATTTTTTAGCTGTGCAATTCTTATCTCTTGTCTGAGAGGTCCGAAATCAATCTTGGGTGCTAAGAGCTGTTTAATCAGTTCATCAATTTCTATTTTAAGGTTTTCTGAGTAAAGTTTTAAATAGGTTTTTCTTCTCTCAAAGTAAGGAAGTGGATGGTGCTTTTGTCCTTTAAAATCCAAAAATCTAGTTTCCAATTGTTGAAAGAAGATTCTTATGGGCATGATGGTGCTTTTAGCATTATTAGAGATCGAGGTTGAAACTTATTTTTCATTTGTCTAATATCATGGAGGAGTTGATTTATGTATAGAAATTGATATAATTAACTAGTAACCCTCCAGAAATCTAAGACATGAATTTCTATATTATCAACTGTCTTCCTAGACAATTGACTAAATCACAGGCAAAGGGTTGCCTTCTTGTGGGAGACAGAGCTGTATTTAGTTGATGAATCATATTGCTTATAACTCTTGACAAGTGCATGTATTTTCAATCTGAATGCTCTGATTTCAGAGATGGGAACATGGAATGGCTTCATTTGCGAATGGTCCTTTTCATGGAGGAGGAGACTTTGGGACTAGGAAAAGGTAAAGGTAAAGGAAAGGGAATTATTGCAATTTCTATGAGAGATCTCTTTAAGCCAAAATTAGTTTTTGTTAACTTTGGGCATTCACTTAGTGTACCCCTCTCTAATTGTTCATTGATGTTTCTACCGTCTACTGCTACAAACAATAATGTTGTTAGCTTAATCTACTGCTACTGTCTACCAACTTTGGCTTGCAGAATATTTTTCTCATTGCTTGTTTACACATTCAATTCTTTCATCTAGATTATTTAAGCATTTATTCTTACTTATTCTGATATGATCTGTGTGTGGACTTTAGTTGCATGATCCTTATTAACTCTTCTTTCATTGCCTTGCCTTAGTAGTTCATCTAAAACCATGATAATTCTTGAAGTATTTGTGATTTCTCCATATAACTGTATGATTTTCTTTTTGTCTTTTTTTTTTCTTTTTTTTGTGGTTGTCAAGTTTGTGAACATGTTAGGGTTTGTGAGCATAATATCTCTAGGATTCCATTTTTGGCACATGAAAAAATCAGCATGGAGAATGCACGAGCTTTTGCTTTCCAGAATGTTAATCAGTAGTGACTGTACAAAGTTTGATAAGATTGACTCACATTTTTTGTTTTATAGATTACTTAATCAGTAGTGAGTGTACAAAGTCTGATAAGATTGACTCACATTTTTTGTTTTATAGATTACTTAATCAGTAGTGAGTGTACAAAGTCTGATAAGATTGACTCACATTTTAGATCACTTAATCAGTAGTGAGTGTACAAAGTCTGATAAGATTGACTCACATTTTTTGTTTTATAGATCACAGTAAGGTGTATTGGACAAATGGGAAGAACATTGCAGGATGTTATCTCGGATTGGATTGGGAAATTAAACAACAGAGAAATTGGTGGGTTGGTTAATTCTTTATCCTCAACTTGATGGTTTTAAAAGTGAGTTTGTTAGGTCCCAAAATCAGTTACCCTCGTGTTATTTTCTTTCTGAGGGCATTTAAAGATATATTTAAATATATCATGGGGTAGTGTTAATTTTAAATGAAATTCTGAAATATTTTGGAATGTATCTTAGGACAACGGTGGGAAATGGGTAATGACGTGTTATCTATAATGCAGAAAGAAAGGGATCTTTTTATTGTTTTCAGGATGAAATGTCTCTAAAATTTGGATATTGGTAGGTTCTATTTCTCATTGTTAGGCTAAAATAATACAACAGTATTTCCTTTGAGAAGGCTTTGATTTTTATTTTATTTTTCTCAGATTGTCTCTGGAAGATAACACTTTGGTTTTAATTTGGGCAGTTTTTTAAATCTTGCTGCAGGTCGAACTAGGATGCCATTGAATCTTGCTGAGATGATAACTGTTGGAACACATGTTTGCAAGTAAGGATGGATCCTTTCATCTTGGATGTTAAATTATTTCATGAAGTAATATACCTCCTTTTCATGGGTGTTGAAACAGACAATGATATTGTTAGTTTAGGGTGGATTCGTGTTTGTGTTTTATAAATCTTCCAAGAACTAATGAAGTTTTTGGAAACAATTTTATGCTGATATAAGATAGAGAACAGCTAAAACTACTGTCCGACAGGTAAACAGCGGAGTAGTATAAACATTTATGGGAATTTGTAGTCCTCTTGAAAGTCACAGCTGCTCAGCTACCTTCTGTGGTTGTTACTTTGTTTCGATTCTAATCTGTCTGGAATTTGATTTTCTATGGCGTTCTCATTCATGATTATGCACAGGCTATGTCTGGCCTGAAGCTTCACAAATGCCTGCTCTAACTAGCCTTTAATTACTGTGTAATAACAAAACCTCTGCTGTCTTATAAGAGGTGGAATCAGTTACCTCTAAACATCACTGGTGATAGATCATTTGACAAGCTTTTAATTTATATAATATTTATGAACAATTTGTAAAGTGGATTCCTCTCTACGCCTTCTGGAAAAAATGTAAGGTTAATCATAAATGTTAAATGATATATTTTTTTTTAATTTCTCTGTTGTGTCCCTAATTGTTTGATGCTGTGATTGTCATGGCAAATTGATCTCCTTTCTGCTATACTGGTTTTGGATTTCAATGCCTAAATATGTACGTACAGTTGGTTTTAAGCAGTATAGAAGCTTGTCTAAGCAAGTGGTTCGATTTATGTTTTTCAATGTATGATTTTCAGAAACTATACTCGATTTTTCTATGAAGAGTGCGGTTCCATGTATGATCTGGATTTCATGAGTGCTTTAGCCTTGAAGCAAATTCTCGAGCAAGCCATGGCCCATTTTAAGGTATGGTCCCTCCATTCATGATGAAGAGAAGATTGAAAGTGGAATTGGATACCCTGTCTGAAAATGCACTATTCTTTTTTTTTTCGTGTGTAATTGATGAAGTTGGTTAGAACAATGAGTGGTGTAGGTGATAACTTTTGTGGTGTTTGTTTTCGAAGAAACTGTGTTTTGTGATTTTTTTTTAATTTTTTTTATTGGAAATTTTTTTTTGTGTTTTACATCGTTTTGATAGTTGGATATCAAAAATAATTTTTAAAAGATATAAAAAAAATATTATTTTCATACAAAATTAAATTTTAAAAAATAACTATTATCATGTTCATTGACACTATATTCATCTTTTTCATAGTTGAGTGAGAAAGGACTAAGCATGAAGCAGCAATTCGTGCCAAATGCACTAATCATCCTTCGCCTTGGTGTTGGGTTAGGTTAACTTTAATAGCAAAAAATATTATTATTATTATTATTATTATTATTATTATCATCAAAAATAGTGATTCAGTTTTATTTTATTTTTATTCAAAGTGATTTGTTTTGGGTTTGACTCGGATTGGCTTAATAATCCAGTAATTTTGATCCTAAAATGAGTTAGATCCAAGATAAAGTTTGACAATTATGATTAACTATATAAAGGTTTATCTTAATTAATTATATAGAAGCAATCTGGTCCGACAAAAAAACTGATGCCGATTTATGAATTTAGAAAATCTTGTCGGAGATAATATCGTGTTATAGGGTATTTTAAAAAAAATGTTTTTAAATACATAAAAGTATTTTTTTATTTTTAATATCAATACATAAAAATCAAAAAAAAATAACACTAAAACAGATCTAAAATCAGAAAATACAGTAGCTCTAAACAGTCGCACAATTTTTTTCGAGCTATCATCATTATTGATAATGGGAGTCTATGCCAGATGATGATGACCCTCGGTGATAAATTAATCAACCTATAAACATGATCCATTTCTAGGTTAATCTATTAATTAATTTGGCAATCTTCATCAGCTATATATATTTGTATAATTTACTTGTTGATTACTTTGAATCAGCCACGTACACGGAAGTTGTTTATCAAAGAATCACATGTATCCAAATGGCAATTTTGGAAGTTAATTGGAAATACAGTTAAAATTATGTTTTTATAAAATTTAATTTTGTTATTTAAAATTATTAATTTTATATATTTAGATTATTTTAATTTGTTAATGTTAAAAATTAATTTTAAATTAATTAATTATTTTTAAATATAAAATATTTTAAAACATAATGTTTATCAAACTCCAAAAAAACCCTATTAAATAATTTTCCATAAATAGAAAGTGAGTTTTTCTGCCACAGCTTCTCTTTGTATATCATGCATATAATTACATAATTGTAATCATTAAACCTTTTAACTTGAAAAATATAAAAAATAAACCTTAATCCAAGTTAAATTTTAATTTAAACAAAAAAATTAAGGACAGTATTTTCAATGACTTGATTAACCTAATAATCTAAACCAAAAAAATATTAATTTAATCAAATTCAGTTAATATGATTATATTTTTAATGACTTGATTAACCTAATAAAATATGGTCTAAATCTAATGGGATTAACACCAAAAAAAATTAAAAAGAAAAACAATAAAATAATATTATTTTAATAAAAATAATTGATTGAAGATGACCTCATAATGTAATACTTTAGATTTTTTTTAAATTAGTTCTCAATTATACATACAAGCACCTCGGTAATGGATTGTTGGACATGAATTCTTCCCTCTTTCGTGACCTCCAATTTCTTAAACGTGTTTTGAATATTTTGTGTTGAATCAATTATTTTCGAGAACTTAAATTTTGAATCATGGAAGACAGACAGGACAAGAGATTATAAATAATAATAAATAATAAATAATTTTTTATTTAAAGAAAAGGGGTCCTTCGCCTCTCACATGTCCCTTTCAGAACTGAACATTGCTTAGACCATCCATTACTACCTCTCGACCTCAAATAGAACAATGTGACAAAGGGAGAAGAAAACGAAGGAGTTAGGTAAAGGGTATGGTACCATCTTTTCCTTCTAGAAGGCAAGTCCAATCCTCAAATTTACGCAGATGACACTACTCTCTTCTCTTCTATTATTTTTTTTATTTTTTTATATTAATATAGTATCTGAATATTAATTTTATAAATTCTAAAATTAATAATTATATAAATTTTTAATAATTATTATATAAACAATCAAAAACTCGAATATGAAACGAATCTTCCCGATTCAAGAAAATTACTACAATGTGATATAACCAACTTACTACGCCGTTTGTTTTCCCAATTTAAAAAATAAAAAAATTGAAAATATTAAATAAAAAATAATATAAAAAGCAATTATTACTACAGTATCGACCTAACTGTGATATAGTATTAATTCAAGAAACTAGGTAAGAGTTAAAAGTAACAGGTGAAAGAGACAACATTAAAAAGAGACAGGAAGCAGCAGAAGCAAGAATTTATGAGAAGAGACAGAGGGTAGTTGTCTACCTGACATAGCCCTTCTACCTGCCAAAAACAACATGTTCTTTTCCAACCTCTACACTCATGCTGATCTGCCAATGAGACCCTTCCTTGTAATATTCTCCTCTTTTGCATTTAGCCTTCCTTTTGTAGTGTTATTAAACCACGACAAGAGTTGATCGGGTGTAAATCTTTTAGTCTGAATTATATTTTAAAATTTTATTTAAAAATTTATATTATTAGATTGAATCACTTATTTAATATAAAATTATAATTTTATTTATCAAATAATTATAAATTTAAACCTCAAAAATTCTTATTTTGTTTATTAAAAATTAAATATAAAATAATACGAGTTTATCTAAATTTTAAACTCAAAGTGATTTTATTTAAAATAATATATTGAAAAATTATATAAATTATTAAATTGAAATAATTTTTTTATATTAATATAGATGATATAAGTTAATTTGTTTTTTTTATGAAATCAAAGTGATATTGTTGTTTTGACTGTCTATCGAGCAGATACAAATCAACTTGAGTTTTGTATCAAATTATATTAAATTAACTTTAAAATAATTTTTTAATCCAGCAAATAATAATTTATAGTTCGGGTTCCTTGTTTAGCCACGAGGTGCAAATTCTAGGGGGATAAAAAATAGCAATGCACTTGATCCGGGGTTGTTGGCATTAAAAGTCTCTATTCAACCTTAGGCCATAAGATCGTCCTGTTTTTGATGCCATACAATTTCAAACAGGTTTATGGGAATCTTGTTCTCATTTCTGTCAATTTGGTGCTTCCATGGATTGGGTGACTTTAAATTTAAAATAAATAAAATATTAAAAAATTAATTAAAAATTAAAAAAAAATATAATATTAAAGAATGAAATAAAAATATCTAAAAAAACCCAAAAAAATTACCAAAATAAACTCAAGTTGATCTTTTTAATAAATTATTCATGAGACCGAGTTAACATAAAAAACAATTAAAGAATTATGAAGTAAAATTCCCAATAAGTTTAATTTTCAATCAAGTTAATGTTAAAATATAAAAATAAAAAAAAAATAACTTTCAAAAAGAAGGACTAAAATAGATTGATTAAGTCAACTTAGATAAATTCACCAAACTCACTTACATAAAAAGCAAATAAAAAAAATATTATATAGTTCAATTCTCAACTAACTCAATATTAAAAAATAAAATTAAAAAATAAATCAACTAAAAAAAATAAAAAAAAATATTTGAATCAATTCATGTTAACTTTCAAAACTCGAAACTTGAATTATGAAATTGTAACAACCATATTAAAAGTAAATTAAAAAACTTAATTCTCAACTAATTGAACGATAATACCAAAAATAATAATTCAAAAGGAGTGTATTAAAAAAAATTCAAATCAATCCGGATTATCCTTCCAAACTCGCAATATGAGATTATCCTATAGAAAAAAAATAGCAATTACAAAGAATAAAATAAAAAAATTAATCAAGTTTTAAAAAGAATTCAAAAAATAATGAGGATAAAAATAATTATAGGAGAAAATTTACAAAGCAAGGCACCAAAATCAAGCTAATAATAGAGAAAAGAGAGACGAGGAGAGAAAAGGGATGTACACATGCAGCTTCAAATGAGGCCATACATGCCTCCACATGCAGCGAGACTCCTCTCACATGATGGCATGTGAGTGTACACGCTGGCCATTCTTCTCGTGCCCCTTCGATTTCATATTTACTCTTGTTTTAGTTTTAAATTTCATCACTCAAACCTTAATTATTTTAGATTAATATAATTGATTTTATTTTACAAAACAATGCCATAATTTTTTCTTGGCATCACCATACCTTTATATATAAATAAACAAAACAAAATGACAAATTTAATCCCAAATAAATCTAATTCAAAATAATCAAATAAAAAAAGTTGAATAATGAAAAAAAATGATGAACATTTTTCGTTATCCATCCAATTAATTTAGTCTCTAATGTCATAAAAAATATACTTAATGTTTGTTCAATCTTCAAATTCAATCTCCAAAACACTTTAATTGTTTTAAATTAATAAAATCTTATTTTATCTCAACAAACCAAGCTATGGAATTTTCATTAATTTTGTGTGACCCCTAAACTAGGTAAAAAAACAAACCATCAAGTCTAATTCCAAACTAAAATAAGATAAAAGAAATAAATTTAAAAAAAATCAATTAAGAGACCAAAATGAAAAGAAACTGAAAGAAAAA